TTGTTAAAAAAAAAAAAAAAAAAAAACAACAAGATACATTTTTCTTTGTTAAAAAAAGGAAAAAAAGAACGAAAAAATGAAAAACAAGAAGACAAAAATGAAACCTTACCAAATGTGCCTTAATTTCTTTTCTTGACTCCTGAAGTTTTCAAAATAGTCTAAACCATCTCATTAGCTACGGTAACATAAAAAATTAATCGAGTTTTTTCTATTATTATTCATTTAAACTGTGAGAGGAATCAGAGCTTGCAAGGGAACCGGAGAAGAACAAAGCATTTAAAAGAAAAACAGATAAATCTTCCTAACGAAAATGCATATGAATGGAAAAGGGATATTGATGCACCTCAATAAGATTTTCTGAATACAATATGATCTTTGACATACAATATCAGTTCCATAAATTCTAGTAATTTATCCTATCCCTCACCAACAAGAGTAAGCCAAGAGCCAAAATAAAGTACAAGGTATTAACATTAAAGTGACTTCTCAGTCAGCAAATTGTCTGTCATGTTCTGTTCTCATCTCACTTTCGATCAGATCGTTTAATTTAGGCATTTGAAGATATTTATGTTAAAGAATAAAGAATCAACTTGTGTCTGCTACATATCAGTCAAGGCAACTAAAACAGCTGACCCTTCAAGCAGAAACGCAAAGTATCACCAGAGTTTCTTGTTCTTGTTTGTTCAAATTATAGAATACGGCCTATCTTTCTTTAAGCATGCTTCGAACTCATAACGATATCTCGATGGACTAGGTTTACAAATTTCCTATTTAAATAAGCATCGAAAGTTTAGTGGGTGTATCACATACTTGATGGGGATTGTGACAGTCAACATGTTGGGTAGATTGAGATCCTGGATTCTTCTCACAGAGCTCTTGAACATGCATTGCTTTTCAATAGGCTGGAGCCAACACTCGATCCTGTAATGAGCAATAAACATCTTGGTATCTTCTCATTTAGATCTTGGATCTAAATTTCTCTTTGATTGCTGACGCTGTTGAGCATAGCCAAAAATTTTGGATTCTACAATGAATGAGAGACAACTTTCCACAATGGTTTCAAACCATGAATGCTTGAGTTGATGGGATAGATTTTGTTGCTTTCATGAATTCACTTGTAAAGATTCTGCTCATTTAGTCTAATAGCTACCCATTCTCCCAACCTCGAGTGTCCGTGTTTTCTACATGCATCAAGGACTTTTTCTAGCATTGGAACAGTAGGATCAAAGGGCATATTAATGATAAATTTTTCGAGCTCATCCATGTTTCCATGTCGGCCATAGAGCTCGATCATGCATTCATAGTGCTCTAATCGAGGTATGATACAGAACTTGTCACTCATTGAATCGAAATACTGCCTACCTAACTCAACGAGATTTTCATAGACACAAGCAAGCAAAATACCTTGGAAGGTCACATGGTCCGGGTTAATGCCTTTCTCCATCATCATCATTTGAAACAATTCGATTACTATCATACCCCTTCTATTGTGACAACATCCTAAAATTATGGAGTTCCACAGAACCACATCGCGCGAAGCTGCATTTTCAAAAACTTTGAGAGCGTACTCAAGTTGTCGGCATTTGCAGTACATATCAACTAAAGCTCCACTAACTGCAATGTCTATCTCATAATTATTTCTAACCATGAAGCCATGGATTTGTTTGCCTTGATCTAATGCAAAGGTGTTTGCACAGGCTGCTAAAAGGGTTGCAAAGGTAAATTTACTAGGAGCTGCTTCCCATTGCATCTCTGAGAAAATTGTCATAGCCTGTTCACTCATGCCGTGACGAGCATAGGTAGTGAGTAGAGCATTCCAGGAGACTTCATCCCGCCATTGACTCATTTGGTAGAACCAAACTCGGGCACTTTTCAAGTTCCCACATTTACCATACATGTCAAGGAGAGCATTACCAATATAGAGATTAGCATAGAAACCAATTCTATAGATAAAACCATGAACTTGCTTTCCTCTTTCAACATCTAAAAGGCCAGTACACACATTCAATATCAGGCGAAGAGTAACGTGATCGACATCCTTAATCGAATTGTGCATCAAGTGGACGAAGTCTAGTGCCTCTTCCCATTGACCGGAATGAATATACCCTGCCAACATAGCATTCCATGAAATCACATTGCGTTCGGGCATTTCATTGAAAAGCTCCCTAGCTTTTAGAACTTCCCCAGACATTGCATATCCATATACCATGGAAGTCCAAGAAATAAGATTTCTGGAACTAGGTTGGATAAATACTTGGTGAGCATTTTCTAATGTTCCACATTTCACATACATGTCAATTAAAGAGCTCGAAATAACTTCATCCCCTTCCAAACCTACTTTCACTACAATACCATGAATTTGCCTACCTTCTATAAGTGCTGCCATACTTGAACAAGCAATCAGCGCATTGGAAAAAGTAAAACTCAATGGCATCACTGCCTCTCGGAACATTTGGAAAAACATTGACACTGCCAATTTACCATCGTCCACCTCAAGATAGCGCCTAACAATAACATTCCAGGAAACATCATTTCGATTCTGGATTTCATCAAACATGCTACGTGCATCATTCATAAGCCTACACTTTCCATAGACATCAACAAGCGAGCTCTCAAGAATCACATTGCCAACAAAGCCAGATTTCACAATATGCCCGTGAACTTGCCTCGAAAGGTGAAGAGCCAAAACAGAACCGCAAGACCCAAGGACACTAGCTAAAGTTATTTCAGTAGCATAAACACCGGATTTGTTCATATTCAGAAATAAATTCAAAGCTTCCAAAGCAAACCCATTCTTCGTATACGCCGTTATCATCGCATTCCAAGATCCCCCATCTCTCTGAGGCATTTCCTCGAACAGCTCCCTCGCATCCACCAAACACCCACATTTACCATACGCCTCAATTGCCCGATTCAACAAAAAAATCGGCGGCGTGGGGCAAAACGTAACCAAATGAGATTCAACCTTTCGAGCTTCAACAAGAGCGCGAGTGGAAGAACAAATTTGGAAAAGGCGAGCATACAAAGGATGAGGAAAGGGGAATGGGGAATCGAACAGAACCGAGACAGCTTTTCGGAGGCGACCCTCTTCCAGGTATTTGAGGATTGTGGTGGCAACGGCTTTGGCGCCGGTGGGTTGGGTTCTGGCGCTGAGGTTCTTATGGGAAAGAAGGCGATTGAGTATTGAGGCCGCAGACACACCCATGTATCAAAATAGCGGTTCGAACACGAATGCTTCACATAGCGGCGCATTCTTTTGCTCTCTCTGTTGCAACCATTCAAAGGCCCCCGCCAAAATAATGCGTAGAGTCTTCCTTCCATTCTTTTTAGGTCAATCATACAAATTTTACCATAAGTTACAAAAAAAATTTATCTTTTTATCCTTCAACTTTAAATTTACCTCAAAAATAACTTTTTCATAAAAATAAAAGAGTGGCTAGCAATTATAAAATAATGGAATAAGTCGATTTTATGATATATTTTAATTATACTATAAATTTTATGGAAAAAAAACTATATATCAATGCTTTATAGATTTTCTTCAATTTTTTTAACATAAAAAAGTATTTTTAAATTTTTTAAAAAATTTAAAATGTATTTTTTAAGTTTTTAAAAAATTTAAAAGTATTAATAAATTTTTAAAAAAACACAAATATATGAACCTAAACTAGGTCGATCCTTGTAGATTATCTTCAAATTTTTTAATTTCAAGTTTTTTAAAAAAATTAAGAGTATTAATGAAAATATTTAAAAACTAAAGTGTGATCTTTTAACCCTTTAAAAAAAAATAGTATTTTTTAGAAAAACTAAGAATATTATTCAAACATTTAAAAATTTATGAATATATTTCGGACCAAATGTGAAAGATATTTTTATTAATTTAGTGTTAATATTTAATTTAAACGACAAAGAGTACACACATTTATTTTTCTCTTAATAATGCACGAATACTTCTAGAAGTCAGTCTATTCTTTATTGTAACGTGGCAACATGAATTTATTTAACGAATAATATAATCATCCACAATTTTGTTATAAACCTCATACCAATCAGATCCGTATATAAACCTCATACATTAAAATGCCAATTAGATCCGTATATAATAATTTGGATAAATACGTTAAATATTTTTCAATTTGACTTTTTAATTTTATATTTTAAAAAATTAGACAATATTCCTTCCTTTCTTTCTACTCTCAAAAGAATATTTTCAAAATTAAAGCATTAAAATTTAGCTTTCAAATATTTTTAGAAAAAATAAAAAAATCACAAGAAAAACAAACACAATTTTAAAATATTAAAAACAAAAAAATCAAATTTTATACCAAATTGAATTAATTAAGAATTTTTATTAGATGGCACTAAATCTTTTCCTTGGGTTAATAAAGGAATTAAAAATTAAATTAAAATATTGACTGCAAGAAAATTGAGTACGTTGCTAACTTACCAGATACAATAACCAAACTAAAAATGAAAAAGAAAAAAGAAAAAGCTTCGTGATAGACATTATTTATTTCCTTTGATAGAAACCTTAAAATAAGCGGATAATAATTTTTTTTAAAATATGTTATTTATATGTATATATACCTCGAAAATTATAATATAATATTTAAATTTTTAATGAAATTGACTTTATAATTTATATTTAATATAGTCGGATAATGATTTAAAAGGTAATTATAAAAATTTGATAATATTTGAAATGATGGAATGGGGAGACCAAATTTGTCCTGGCAGCTAATAAAGGCGGAGACTGATGATTGCAACAATGAGAACAACAAATTAAACCATTTAACTCACTAAATATTAATTAGAGAAAGATTAGAGTGAGTAATTAACAAAAAAATCAAGCCCACAATAAATATTAATTATAATTAAAATGTTGCAATAATGATATATATATATATATTATATAGTTGGGGGAGAAATGGGGTCTACAGGCCGGCGCTCCATCTAGAAGTGGTTGATTACAGATGTTATTAAAATTAATTTTTGTGAGATAGTGCGTCAGCATTTTGTTTTTATTATAATTAGATTTCATTTTGTTATTTTCTACATTAAAACACAATCATTTCCATCGAGTGAGTTTACTCACTTATTTGATTGTAAACGTATGATCGTTCTTTAAATCAGCAGATGTGAGACTTTTATTATTATTTAATAGAGTATATAGACATCATTGAAAATTAAATTTCATATTTAAAGACATTATATATTTAAATAGGTTAATAAATTAATAATTTAGAATCAATAAAATTTTGAAAAATAATTTGTGTAATGGAGTATTTTTGCGAAATTGAAAATTATTATAAATAAAATAAAAAGACTATTTTACCTATTTTCCTTTAAAATATATACAATTTGCAAAAGGGCTAAACAGACATTTAATTGATACAGAATATAATAATTGTTTTTATATAAAAACGATGAATAGCAGGAGAATTGAGGAGGAAGAAAGTAAACCACAATTTATTATTATTATTTTTTTCAATAATAATGACAAATAATCATGTAGCTGTTCCACACGTTGTCCTTCCATTGGACAATAAATTAGAAAAATCCCACAAATCATTTACAGATTTTTTAATTAAATTCCAAATAAATAAATAATCTCCTCACATTTAATGCTTGTATTTTCAGTCTTCTATTTTATTTATTTATTTATTTATTTATTTATTTATATAATCTTCTACTAATTAACAGCCTAACAACCAACGTCTGAAACCAGAAGAATAAAAAAAAGATATATAAACCTTTTATAAAAGAGGTGAGTTCCTTTATTAAAAGAATATTTAAATTATTCCACCCATTCCCTTAGTTTAAAAATTATCGAGAATATATATTAAAAAAAATTCATATTATTTGGATAAACATGACATTTTTACAATAATACCATAGGTTATAAGAAATAAATTATTTATTAATGCGATAATCCAAAGTTTAAATATTAAATAACTTTTGTGAAGCGCAAGGGTGGGATGTCTGTCACCGTACCTTCACGGTAACTAGTCCAAGTTACCGTGAAATTGACACGTAGGCGACCGTGTTAAATTACAATTTTCTCCCCCTCCTCTCTCCTCCTATACCCTCCTCTGCCCCTCTAGCTTCAAACGCCGCACCACACGCGATCTCCTCTGCTTCTCTCTCTGTTTCAAGTTTCTTCTACAACCATGGGAAACCCTATCCATACAGCCGAAGACTGCATCATTTTCAGGGGGTGGGACAGTGCCGCCGGGGACGATGACTCACAATTGGAGTCCGGCGTTTGTTCGCCCACGCTCTGGGGTTCCAATTCTCGAACCAACCTCCAATTTCACCGCCCGCGTAATCGCAGCCTCTCACCGACGTCCCGGACACAAGCCATAGCCAGAGGGCAACAGGAGCTCATGGAGATGGTCAGGAACATGCCGGAATCCTCCTACGAGCTATCTCTCAAGGATCTTGTTGAACACCATTTGAGTAATTCTGAGCGTCAAGACGGCGATGCCTCGCTTTCGCGAGACGATTCCGCCTCTGAAACTTCCTTCCGAAGGGACACCAGCAAGACGAGGAGTGAAACTAGGGCGTTGGTTACCAGAAGTAGAAGCGTCGATAGCGGTGGATTTTACCTAAAAATGTTCCTCCCGTTGCCTTTCGGGCAGATGTCGGCCAAAAAGAAGAGGAATCTTAGAACCGATTCGGGGTTGAATAGCAGTTCGAGAGTGTCGCCTAAACCGCCACCGGTGGACAGAGAGTGGTGGAGGAAGCGATCGAATGAGGGGAGCGTATCCGGCGGCAGTAGTAATAGCACTAGCAGCGAAAGAAGCAGGTAACGAACCAAATCAAATTGTTTATCAATCCAGACAAAAAGAAAACCCCCCAATTTCATGAATCTCAAGATTATCTGTTTGGTCGTGATGAATTTGATGTGCAGGAATTCAGAATCGCAAGGAGGTTGCTGGTTTTGTATCAGTCCAATGAGGAGTAAAGATCCAGAGTAGAACAGCTTCCATTAGGAGTATTCAAATGAAATGAATCTTCTTAATATGTAATCTTCTCTAAATCACAGCTGAATTTTGCAGCTAAGCTTGTTTATATCTTTTCTTATCTGTATTTTGATTTCCTTATATTTTCAACCAAGAATTCACCTGTTTTTTCCTCCCATTTTCCTTAAATTCAAATGGGATATTAAATTATCACGATGATATTATGTTAGTGGGAAGACTCGAGGATTGACCTCGAGCTTCTTGTTGAAGATTGTTGGGAGGCAGTCCCATATCAACTAATTTATAGATAGTAAATAATACATCTCCACTGTCATAATTTCACACGATCTTAAAACCATAAAGTAATAAATTCTTTAATATTGCTTATTTTTGGTACAAAAGAATGAATGCAAGACGTGGGGAAGATGGCCCGCCAAAAACTATCCAATGATTCACAACGTCCGGAAAATTTAAGCCATTTGGCATCATTTGTAGACTTTGGAATAGAGTATATTGTAAAGATTTGAATTCAAATTTTACGTCACTTTAAATATTATACAACATATTGTCAACGTCAATATCAATATAGACCCCTATGATTTGAGTATTTTATTAGATTTCAAGTTAAATGGATCCTAAATTGTACAAACAAATCTTTCTATTAAATATGATATCAGATCCACATCGATTGGATAGAGATATGAAACATTTTTTCGGTAGAGTTTTAAAATTATGAGACCGATGACGATATATATAACGTATTAATGTGAACAATGTATACTAACATTAGGTTTGAGCTGTTACATAATATAATATAGTTGTTGAATTATGTGCGGGTTGAAAACATAAACTAAATAATTTGGAAGATCTCTAAAGAAAAGAGACAAAGATTCTGTTGTTTACTAACTATCGTCACTCACAAGTAAGCTCCAGCTCCAATTATGGCGGAGTCGAGTAGTGATACCTCAATTCAAATTCAAATTCAAATTCAAATTCAAATTCAAATTTTCTCATTTTTTGTTTGGGCTTTCATTTGGGCTTGGGCCAGTTAACTTTGGGCCCAGTATTGCAACTTTAAAAGGGTTCTCATATGGGTTACAGTCGAATTTTAGTTCAGAAATGGGCTTATGAGTCGCAAAACGTCATGATTGCAGACCCGATCCATCGGCCCAATTATTGTTTCGGGTTGACGTACTCAGCAAGTCTACTACGCCATCCATGCGGTTAGATTGGCAAGCCAAGTGGGACCAGATGGTCTGTGGTCTTAGTCCAGCACGAAAACGCGGTTCTACGCTCCAAAACGCATCAGCCACTCCCCGAAGTCTCCCCCACTGAAGACTTGGAAAATGTCAAACCCGGAGACCCAAACCAAAGAAAGAACAAAAAAATCGTAATGGATTCTTATAATGCTTTTATGATTCCGCTTACCGTTTACTGAATTCATTCATAGGAATTCGTCTATCACGGGACTCCGTGGTTCGTGTTCTTACGCGGGGTTTCCATTTTTTCCCCATTATTTCATTATTTTCTTTGTTGTGGGACTCTGAAAATTCCAAGTTGGGTCTGAAACTAATCGAACAAGCAACCCCTCGACGAAGAAAAGCCAAAACGAAGAACACACACACACACACACACACACTTCTCCCCACTTTTGGCTGCTCATTCCCTAGGCAGGTATGCTTCATTTCAGCCCCAACCCATTTTTTCTTTTCCTCTGTTCCATCTATTTCGTTTGTTGATCCTGGCGTTTACTTTTAGATTCTGGGTAAATTTGCTTTTGCTTTCGTTTTTCTGCTTTATGGTTTGCTGCCTCGTTTCTGCCTATTATGAGTTGTTTTAGAGATAGATCATGAGTTTATAAGTAAGTAAGAAATATGCCTATCGAAGAAACCCGGCAAAGCTGTGAGAGCTAATGCTCAAAGGGTCATAGTGGGTTATGTTATGATTTGTATGTCCACTTGAATCATCTGTTGTTGATTCTCATCATCTATTGAGAAATTTTGCTTATGGGGTTCTTGTTTATTGGCAAGGAATTTGTTGGTGATTCTCTAATCACTTGATATCTTCTTTTTGCTCCTTTTCAGAGTTGCTGCTTTATTTTTTAAAGGTATAAAGGGAGAGCCATTGATGGCAACGATTTCTGATAGACTTCTGTTCCACGACAGAGCTTTGTGTAGTTCACTTCTTAAGGTTATTTGTAGCTGAATTTCAGAAATCCTGCTGGATTGTGTTTCTCAGGAGATTCAAGGACAGAAGACCCTATTGGGGTGCAAAAGATTCAGAGAGATATGGCTACCAATGCTGCTGCTGCTGCTGCTTGCGCTGAGAGAGCCACAAATGATGTGCTCATCGCTCCTGATTGGGCCATAAATATTGAGCTCTGTGATATTATTAACATGGATCCCAGGTAAAAATCCCAACGTTGTCTGAAATGAATATCTATGAGTTGTTTACACTTACCTTAGTGAACTCTGAAACCAATGAAAGCAAGTTTTTGTTGCTGACAAGTTGTTTTTTTCCCTTCCAATTGGGTTCTTTGGACTCAACCCGCTGTTGTCTGCTTCCGTACTTATAAACTCAATCCTTAATCATCCTCAACAATCTTTACTTATAAACTCATGATCAACCCTAAAATTAGCCAATGTGAGACTCTTTTTCCAACAATCCTCTCCTCGAACAAAGTACACTATAGAGCCTCCCTTGAGGCCTATGGAACCCTCGAACAGTCTTCCCTTAATCGAGGCTTGACTCTTTCTCTGGAGCTCTCGAACAAAGTACACTCTTTGTTCGACATTTGGTCACTTTTGACTATACCTTTGAAGCTTACAACTTATTTGTTCGATATATTAGGATTCTTTTGACATGACTAAGTTAAGGGCATGGATTTGATACCATGTTAAGAATCACGACTTTCCACAATGGTATGATATTATCCACTTTGAGCATAAGCTCTCATGGTTTTACTTATGGTTTCCCCAAAAAGGTCTCATACCAATGGAGATGTGTTCCATACTTATGCACCCATGATCAATCCTTTAATGGGCCGATGTAGGACTCCTTTTCCTACGATACTCAACACAACTAACCAATTATAACTTCTTCCAACCAAATATCTATTCTCTGTTGTGATTTTAAATGTGGACTCTGGTTTTAAATGGGTAATTCATAGGCAAGCGAAGGATGCATTGAAGATACTCAAGAAGCGCCTGGCTAGCAAAAATCCTAAAACACAACTTCTAGCTCTCTATGTGAGTCTTCTTAGTCTTTGTTGAATGTTTACCATAAACAACAATATCAGATTTCTGGGTTGTGCTACTTTCTTTGTAATAACCAATGGCTGAAACTTAATTTTGTTACTAATAATCCAGGCATTGGATGCTCTAAGCCAAAATTGTGGCGATACTGTTTTTAAGCTGATCGTAGATTGTAATATCCTGCACGAAATGGTTAAAATTGTAAAAAAGAAGGTATCTGTGAACTTCGACATGAATCTATCCTGTGTTACTTGGTTAAGTATACATCGCAAACCCGGACAAACAGTTTAATGTGTTTTTTTAAATCCTAGCAGCCTGATTCGACTGTAGGACACAAGATACTAACTTTGGTAGATGCATGGCAAGCAACATTTGGGGGTGGCTCCAGGGGAAAGTATCCACAGTACTATGCAGCCTACAATGAATTGATGGCGAGTTATCTTTTACTCTGATATGTAACATTTTAAACCTTTGACAGAGTGTTGGGAAATCCTTTTGCAGTACTCATTTGTTTTCGTTTCGTAATACAGAATGCTGGATTTCGATTTCCACCAAGACGAGAGAACGTTGGGCAGTTCGTAAGTCCACCTCAGATACACCCTGTTATTGAGCAACATGTTTCACCCTATGATGATCTTGCTGCTCAGGTTTCTCTTCAGTCTGATGCTTCTGGTTTAAGGTAAACGATTTAATTCCCGTTTGGACTCGTCGTTTTGAAAAAGCAACGGGCTATGAAGTGGACCGACGCATTAGAGTTTCGATCCAATGCGTCGGTCCACTTCACTTCTTGCTCGAGTATAGTTGTTTCTTTTCTATTTGCCATTGCCTTTCTGGGTTCAACTCTGATTATAATTTGAACTTAAACAGCTTGCCAGAAATTCAAAATGCACTGGGGCTAGCAGATGTTCTGTTGGAAATGCTCGATGCGTTAGATCCGAAGACTCCAGAGGTATTCCTCTAAAAGTGTCTTCATGTTGTAAAAGAAAGAGTTTGAGGAAACTCATATGAGACATAATGCACAATTTGTCCTTTTCCGTTCGACATTTTGACTTTCATGTTGACAGGCTTTGAAGCAAGAAGTTATTGTCGATCTTGTTGATCAATGCCGTTCCTACCAGAGCCGTGTCGTGATACTTGTGAATGAGTCAACGTAAGATATCGTGCCAGCTTTATTTATTACCGTAGACTTAACCTCTGACTCGTGCTGTTTGCTCCCATTTCAGAGATGAGGAACTGTTGTGTCAAGGATTGGTGCTGAATGACAGTCTGCAGCGTGTACTCAGCTACCATGATGACATTGCAAAAGGAACGTTTACAACGGAAGCTAGAAGAACAGAACCTCCTCCCGTTCCATCGGTTCCATATATGGACCCCGAGGAGGATGAGTCGGAAGTTGATTTTACACCATTAGCTCGCAGGTGCCTATAATTGAGTCCCCTTACCTTGTTCCATTCTATAAAAAGTAGAATGTCATTGTAACTGTTATACATGACTTGCAGGTCAACAAGAGATCACATTTATGCACGGGACAGGAAACTGGCAAACGGTCAATCATCTCGAGTAAGTCCGCTTCCTTCACCCTCATTAAAGAAGACAACTGGTGCAGAAATGATCGATCATCTTAGCGGCGATGTGTACAAGCGTGAAGGGTCTCCAAGGACAGTAGAGCCACCATCTTATACACCTTCAACTTCCCCGCCTTCACCAACAACTTCATCTTCCTCACGTTTCTACACCAGACAGCCTTTATTCGTCGAGCCACCCCCAAGAAGCATGTCCACAAATCCGCCCTCCGCAACACCAAGCTCCCTCCCTCCCCCACCCTCAAGATATAATCAAAGACAACAATATTTTGAGCAACAAAAAGCTGTTACAGGAGGCATTTCGCCCCATTTGAGCAACGGCTATAGTTCTTATGACAAGATAGTCGGGAATACCAAGAATCTGTCACTCGGTCCTTCCACCCCGACCAGAGCTGCAGAGCATGAGGAGGCCCTTTTCAAAGATCTGGTGGATTTTTCCAAGGCCAACACATCTTCATCCTCCAAATCCAACCGACCATTCTGAGACTCGAATAGTAAAGACTGACCTTGTTTTTTCTTTGTCTTCGTCCTCGCTCTAGTGTAGGCAGGTGATTGTGAGGTTTCTTAACGAGGTTGTTGCATATTCATGAACAAAGCCATCCATTTTGTAAGGAAGTAGGTGTTAGAATTTGTTCATTTGCTTTGGATGGGTCTTACATTGAGCCACTGATCTGCATATATTATATATTATGTTCATTTGGTAGCATCTCTTTTGTTCCGTAACATACAACACTTTGTCAACATTCCAATGGGTCTTAGATTCTGAAAACACAAGAACTGCAGGAACAAATATGCCTTTATTGGTCAAAGAATAAAGTGATTCATACATTCAACAGAACAAGAGTACTCTTTTGGCTCCTTCCACAAAGAAATTGCATTAAATGGAGAATAAAACTTATTAAGACAGCAGTTTCTAGGAGATAAGCAGTTTATCAGTTCACCAGTATATGCAATGCAGTACAGATAATGAAGGCAAAGAGAGCTTGAAAGATTGATTTTGGGCTACTCAACTTTTTAGGAGAGGGCACGTCCTTGCTACCCCTTAGAAGCCCTTGCATATGATGATGCCTCCCCTGGAAAGTGTAGGCAAACGAAAGTTTGAGAAAGAACGTCAAGTCAATGAAATTTTCATAACATGTTACTACGTTTACCAGTACAGCATCCTTGAGTGGCCCCCAGCATTCGAGTCTATTATACTTTGGAGAACTAGAATGGAAATATACCCTGACCAAGGCATCTAGCAGCTCAGGATTCTCCCCAAACAATATTGAATCTCCATACAGGACAGATTCAAGCACCTGGTTTAACAAAAAGAGAGGCATTTAGTCTTATCATAGGATTTCCATCGATGTAGGTTGAATCTGAGAGTTCCTGTAACAGCCAAAGCCCACCGCTAACAAATATTGTCCGTTTTGGCTCGATGACACGGTTTTAAAACGTGTCTACTAGAGAGAGGTTTCCACACCTTTATAAGAAATGTTTTGTTCTCCTCTCCAACCGATGTGGGATCTCACAATAAAAATATGCACCAGACGGGAATTGTACCCAAGTCTATACCGTGGCAAGGTACTATTCTACCCCTAGACTACCATGGCAGGGAATCGAACCCGGGCTATTACAGTTTCCCATGTCAAACTTTGAGATATAGTAATAGAAAATAAACTTACAAGAGGCAATTCTTTGGAGAATATGTGGTATCTAAACTCTGCAGCAAGGTCGAGCAAAGAATTAGGACCGCTGACATAGCAATGAATATGAAGACACATTTCATCCTTTACTTTCTTCCACTCAGCAACCACATCATCCTTGTTGTACCACCCTCTCAACTATGAACATTCACAGACCCAAAAATGAGAAGAAAAGAACAATGTATTGTTCCATTAAGATAGTGAAGTAGCCATAGATTTGTACCTGATCAAGGTTGATAACATCAGAGATGGTTAAGGTGAGATTAGCAGTGAAGTCACAGTGTGATAGTATGTATGTTCTTGGGATGATCCCTGCACACTTCTTCACCTCTCTACTGAATTCAACTTTTAGCTTTGAAGCTTCAAATCTTGCTGGAGGAACCAATATCCTAACAGCCTACCAATGATCAATGCATCATAAGAACCAGCAAGAACCCTTTTGAATTTTGGCTGCTTTGATTCAATAATTGTTCAAACTGTTCAAGAAATTTCATTTGAAGGAACCAACTAAGCAAATTACACGATGGGTTCTGTAAACATCATCCAGCATTTACTGTTCACCATAGTAACTCAACTGCTGAACTTCTTAGCAATATCTATCGACATTGCACAGTGAAAATCCAGCAACCCATTTCATGCGCATCATCGTGAATTTTAGCCTTAGTGTTGAGGATTTTTGGGAGAGGAATTCTATATAAACTAATTAAGGGTTGATCAAGGGTTTACAAGTAAGGAATACTATCTCTATTGGTATGAGACTTTTTAGAAAAACCAAAACCATAGGAGCTTATGCTCAAAGTGGACACTATCATATCATTGTGGAGAGTCGTGATTCCTAACATGGTATCAGAGTCGTGCACTTAACTTAGACATCGTGATTCCTAACATGGTATCAGAGTCGTGCCCTTAACTTAGACATGTCAATAGAATCCTCAAACATCGAACAAAGAAGTTGTAAGCCTCAAAAGTGTAGTAAAAAGTGACTCAAGTGTCGAACAAAGGGTGTACTTTGTTCGAGGGATCCAAAGGAGTCGAGCCTTGATTAAGGGAAGGCTGTTCGAAGGCTCCATAGACCTCAAGGGAGGCTCTATGGTGTACTTTGATCAAGGGTTTCAGAGGAGTCAAGGCTCTATTAAGGGGAGGCGGTTCGAAGGCTTCATAGGCCTCAAGAGAGGCTCTATAACTTTGTTCGAGGAGAGGATGGTTGAGGATTGTTGGGAAAGGAGTCTTACACTGACTAATTAAAGGGTTGATGATAAGTTTATTGGGAAGGAATACTATCTACATTAATATAAAGTCAGAGCTTATGCTCAAAGTGAACAATATTATACCATTGTGGAGGGTAGAGGTCATGATTTCTTATGATACATTCTCGATGAAGCCCAAAACTCAACAGAATCCTTTTAACTCTCAGGCTTCAAGTCGATCGAGAAGGAAACCACGAACATTGAAGAACAAAATGCAGATCAAAATCAGACAAGGAAAATCTCTAGGCACGAGATCAAACAGAATCGAATAGATTCATTCACCCACAAAAAACCCTTCAAATCAACCGAGATTGAATCAAATCTAGATGACCAAGAAACAAATGGAAAGAACAGAGAGGGAAAGAGAATGGTACCTCAGAGACGAGAGTATTGTAAGAAGCCTGAGTGGTACGAAAAGAAAAAAACAGAACAACAGGCTTCTTCCTCACAACAAATTCGAACTTAGGCTTGGTTGGCGATGGAAGAACAGAGTAAGAAGCACACTGAAAAGCCATGGAAGACGACGCATAACAACTTACGTCTTCTTCTTCACCTTCATCTTTCAAAATCAGATTCAGAATCAGAACCAGAGCCAGCCATTGTCGTCTGGTTTGCAGTCGCTCATGTGGACAATGATTCAAAGACCTTCGCGTTGGGCCAAAATCCAAGTCCGCCCATCTCCCTCCACACACATTCATCTTCCTTTCCAACACATTTAATTATAAAAAATAAGGTGAGGCTAAGTTTTTTCTGATTGGTTGAGGGTTTTCAATTTTCTGACACGTCATCATCTCCGGTCCATTCTTCGATAACTTCTGGATAATGTGCTCACGTGGCTAAATCTAACGCTTACACGTACTAAATGTTATTTTAATATTATCCAAATTTTAGGATGGATTTGGTGAAATGAAAAATTTAGATAGGAATTGATGAAGCAATTTAGAGTAAAAATTGAACTTAGTAAAAAAAAAATTAGAAAAATAAATATACAAATTTATAAGGAATGGAAATGTATGGGACGTTTGAGCTATGGGCTTATTCCCGTTTCGATCCTCGAGAATTTTTTAGTGGGTAATTCCGAAAAGAATAAATAGAAAATTTAGTGGGAACGAGAAATAAAATATGTAGCAGAAATGAAGACATGGGCACTAGCTACCCTTTCTTTGTCTGGATTTGTGAAGGAATTAGAATGACGGCTGCAAAGGATGTGGAGCGTTTAGGCTAATGGTACTACTAGTCAACTACACTTGCGGATGATAGTTAATAGTACTACTAGTCAACTACACTCGCGGATCAACTGAACTAGGAAAACTTTCCTCATCCTTGCTTGTGGAGATTTCTACTTGTCATTTTATCCATATCCAAAACTTTACGAGATCATCGAGTATAAGTATGTCTCGTTTATGTTCCCTGACCAAAGGAGGGTAAAAATGACGTGTTCTTTTTGAACTCTTAGTAATACACGAAGAAAATAATTAGATGGTTTAAATCGTGTTTGTAGCTTTAAGAATCTTCCTTTATAATACCATTTATCTTCCCACACAAGATTAAGATACCTAAAACAAATCTTAGATGCTTCTATTTGATGCGTTGAGATCTAGACTTGAAATAGTTTGAACATTAAAAAGTTTATAATATTTTCGTAATGGTTTTAAAACGCAATTAAAATGTAGTCCAAAAATGGGAGAGATGATGGATTTTGTGTCGGCCAAAAGCATGGGATGATTTGGAGGGATTAAGGTATATGTAAGTTGCTAGAGGCCCCTCCTAATTATACCACGAATCGATCAACTTTTAAAAGGCGTTTGGACTCTTTAGTTTCTTCTTTCTTTGAAGGGTTTGCCCGACATTTTCTTAGTAATGATAAGACCAATGATATAACGCCTAGGTTGTCTCAACTCTTCTTTACACGTTCTTTTTATTAGACGTGTTTGTGAGTTTGATCGAATTAAATTGAAACATTTTTTAAATCAAGTTGTAAATTTGTTCTAACTCATACCATTCTGAATCTAACCCAACACAACCATAATTAGTTTGTGTAAAACCAACGGTACGTAATGAACAAAAGTAAACAATATCTCCTAGAAGTGAATTTGGGTTGTTACAAATAATATCAAAGGCAGACACTGGACGGTGTATCATCAAGTACGCTAGCTCCCAAGAGAGGAAGACTATGAGAGTGGCTAGGGAGGGAAACAAATCATTTCTTATAAGGGCGTGAAAACCTTTTCTTAGTAGACGCGATACATAATGGACCAAAGTGGACAATATTTATTAGCAATGGGCTTGAATTGTTATAAATGATCGTTTATTTCCATAACCCTACTCGTGCATATTAGGATAGATGGATCGATTCTTTTGAACATCCAATGAAAAAAAGAGGCAAAAAAAAGAGGCCCCCCATTGAAACAACATTGTTACGAGGATGATGAGTGCATGTGGGGGTCGGAGCATCTGCCTTTGTTTATGTCTCTTATGATGTCATATTACAAATCATTAACAATTTAAAATGAGTAAATAAATATAAATGGTGAGAGAGTTCCTCACAATTCATTGTGCCTCACTTGCTTTTATGGCAATGGATTCAAGTAGCCCATTGTTGGTCCTCTCCTCTCAGTTCATATGGCCTAAAGAGGATTTAGTGGACGCATATGATCAGAAGCTCACTGAGCCACACGTCGACCTTCACGGCTTCCTAAAGGGCGATCAAAAGGCCACCATCGAAGCTTCCCACCTCGTAAGGACAGCCTGCATGAAACATGGCTTCTTCC